TCATCGGGTCTATCACCATTTGCCCAAAGCCCTCTTTGTGGTTTCACTCCCAGACCCTTCGGTTCGAGTTTGAGGCTTCCCTTTTTCCCACTCACACGTCGTCGGGTCTATCACCGTTTGCCGAAAGCCCTCTTTGTGGTTTCACTCCCGGACCCTTCGGTTCGAGTTCGAGGCTTCTCTTTTTTCCTAATCACACGTCGTCTGGTCTATACCATTTGCCGAAAGCCCTTTGTGGTTTCACTCGCAGACCCTTCGGTTTGAGTTCGAGGCTCCTTCTTTTTCCCACCCACACGTCGTCGGGTCGAGTTCGGCTGAGCAAGCTGTTGGCAGGCCCGAGACTCAAAACCCAGTCTGAATGAGCACTTAAATTGCCTCGTTGCCATTTTGCCATGCAATGCTCTCCACCAACTCACTTGATGCATATGGCCATCTAACGTGAATTTACTGAGAAGCAACGGATGCTTATTTAATGATGAAAACTTAAGCCTTTACAGGGCTGGGCAGGCAGATACACATTAACCCCCCTCTTTCTCTCTCTCTCTCTCTTGCGAGATGGCCGCAAGTCTGTCACGGGATGAACATAAAAAGTTGACTGGCTGTCTCGTTCAGGCAGTACAGCGATAGGGCTCAAGTTGACTGTACTCTTGGGGCCAATGTTTAGCTCATCTTATCACAGAAATAAAGAAATGATCAGGTAGGACTAATCGGACAGCCTCCAAGTTGGCAAGTGGTAGGTCAGGAGGCTCGGAAACCCTCTGGGTCGGTGGGTCGGGCAGACGAGACATGCTGTTGGCAAGAGACAGGGCTCGCAACAGATACATACATACAAGCATACGCACGAACAGACGAAAATGCAGACAGACGAAGGCTCTAGGCCAGAAATAAGTAAAAAAAGACGAGCATATTTACGCGCATGCACACATGCATGCGGGCACGTAAACAAGTGGAAATGAAGATGTACACAGAGCCAGTATTTCGGCCTATTTGCAATGACTTTGCAGCAAAGCGCCTTGACTCGTTCATTTTCAGACCTCCACGGACTCCTTATATTTATTTATTCACGTTTTAGATTTGCTGATTCTTTTTGTTGACGTCTTCTCTTTACTGGATGATTGTTTGCTTTAATTGGCCATCTACACTATATTGCCTTTTTGACTGAATTTGTCTCGCGTCTATCTATGCATCAATCAGCTCTTCTATATTCCAGCATGAATTGCCTTACAACCATCATTGTTCTCAGCCTTATCATAAACTGATGTGCTTCTGCCTCAGCACTACCATTTCTCCTCTGTCCCTTTCATTCGCTCCTCACAGCACAGCTAACCTCTGAGGGTGATGTCTACAAATCAGACTCACTATCTTTCCATTTTTCGTCGAATTCTTTGGTCGTCCAGTTATCGTCGAGCCCGAGGGCCACTTGTCTTTGTTCCATTTTCGAAGAAAGTAGTCTTCGTAAGTATCAGTTATCTTTGAATAAGAACCCAGTCAGCCAGCCTAGATCGTTCAAGGTGATTTAAGGACTACTAATTGAGTCACGGTCATATGCGTATGCTTCACAACGTCTTTAAAATTCACTTACACTTGCCTTCTAAAGAGCTATCTCATCCCGGCTGGAGTGGACCGTATTTTCAATCTCGCCTAGGTCTCATCAATACCTCCAATGGTATTCAATACTGGGCATAAGCTAAATATATGAATCAATGAGATGAGAAACAGTTGTCTATGATAAGATGTGAAGAGGAAACAGGATGAAATCAAAGGGAATCAAATAAAATAGATCAGAATGAGTCTCGAAATAGGCAACACAAAAAGTCGAGGGTGATTGCGAAAATTAATAAGCATGACCGAAGGATTTGTTGATTGATCTTCATAGAAAACCTAGAAAGATGACATTATATTGTCCTCTGCTGGTTTGTTGTTACTGTGAAACTAAATTCAGAATGCTGTTTTGTTCTGAAGATGCATTACCATGACAGAAGTAGTCGGCTTTACCAGAAGGTAATATTGATCAGACATTCAATTGGTGTTTAAGTATGTAATGTAGTGATTGGTAGGTCAGCCTCATCCTAAAATCCTTATAAACAAAATTTGTTGACCTAATTTAAGCCAGCGTTTGGGCCACTAGAATGTTGGCCTACTTGTCGCAACATAAGGCTTATCCTTCAAGCTTGAAATTACATATGGTTTCCTTAGAAAGAAGCGCCACAAACTGAAAGTAGCCAGCAGGATCGCATCATCGGGAATATAATCTTCTGTATACTCTGTGCAAAGACAATCTGCAATCGTCTTCGGATGACGTCGACCTACGAATCGCTTCATCACACACTTTTATGCTAACTGAATGTCTAGTCAACTCCTCTTTTTTATATGAGATGTATTCAATCTATTTCGTTTAAGGTAACGAAGGACTGGTAGAAGAATTTTCCCACAACGGTATGAGTGGAGCCGAAGTTTCCATTGAATTTCCCAAAAGTTGTCCTATCATCCCGGCTGGAGTGGGCTGCACTTTCGACCTCGCGTAGGTCTTATCAACACCCCCAGCGGGAGTCGAACCGCTGCACTGTCACGGTTCGACTCCCTCTAAGGGCGTTGATAAGACCTATGCGAGGTCGAACCTGCAGACAACCCTGGATGAGAACAACTTTTGGGAAAGCAAGACTATGTGAAATTCAATGGAAATCTCAGATCTATTAATATCATTGAGAAAAATTCGATTACCAATCCCTCATCGCGTTAAACGAAATTGGGTGAATACATCTCATATAAATGATTTATTGGTACTCTCGAAACTCTCTTCCCCTTTTTTTGTTATGTAAAGGAAAGCTTCAGAACAAAATAGAATTCCAAACCCAGTTTTGCAGTAACATCGAGCCAAGGCAGGGCAACAGAATGCCATCTTCATTTTTTGCCATAAATCATCGGCTTTCCGTTTTGCTTGCTTCGAGATTTATTCCGATCTATTTTTCTATTCACCTCACTTATTCACGCCGCTTCCACTTCATATCTTGTCTTCAACAACTTTCCCTCCTCTCCTCACTGGGTCGTAGAGTTGGCCTTTAGCTCTCTAGGGTACGCAAGTGGAGCTGTTGGGTACGCCTTTGAACGAAGTTTAATGACATACTAATAATGGATTTAGATACTTCATATTGTGTCACTTGACTCATTTTGTCCTTCTAATCTCGTAAACACCATAATGATGGCCCAGGCTTTCATGTTCTTTCGCTTTGGAACCTCAATATTATCCGCTTTTAAGGGTCCGAAATCAATGTTAACTTGGGTTGGCCAGATTTGTCATAACTTTGAACCTCAAACAACCCTCCTACTTTTGAATTTACTTGCATCCCTTGCTCCATTAAAGTATTCCGGCCGACCTGACTTCAGTGGGCACCCACCACGCACGCACCAATAAACATTCACGCATACATGAATAGCCAAACCTGTGTAAGCATACACAAGCAATATGCTCCTTCGTACTCATACTTGCATGAGCCCCTCACGAAAATCGTGCTTGTTACGAAATTTTACTTTTATCTGTCTCATTCTACCTTTTAACCATTCATTTTGCTGACCAAAAGCAGACATTACATCTTAACACTACATTCAAATTCTGTTAATTTGTAAAGCGTAACTCTACTCAGAGATTTTTACAATTGTGCACGCACGCACGCACGTACCCACTCCCACACACGGGGCTACTTCGTGAAGTAACCTGAACTTTATTGTATCGAAGCATGGCTCATTAGTCTGGGAATTTGATGTAAAATTCTGTAATTTATTGCTGGACCTCCGAGGCACCCTTTGAAAGAACCACGTCTTTAAATCTGCCCTTCTTTATACACATTTGGATAGAATAACTTTAGAGATTTGTTGATTCGGTGATCTACTAGATTGTGATTTTAACACATTTGTCCTCAGCCGAGTCTTCTGTGTTTCCGATAAGTCTTCCTGAGTTTGGATTCGGCTGTAGTCCTACACTCCACTTTGCACCATACTGTTACGCCCAAGGCGAGAGGTGTGAGATGAACATGAGTTCACGATTGCTACGCACTGGCGAAAATGGGTTTAGGCGTTAAGACTTAAAATTATCTGCCAAGTGACATCGCGCATTCGCTGTATGAGACATCGAGTTACAGGATTGTGATGAAATTAAATATAAATTAAATCAAATTCACTCACGATAGATAGACCACTAAATTTGTCTGATATAGCATAAACATGGAAAATTAATTTGCGTGAGTCATTTTCTTAAGCTTGGATTTCTTCTGTGACATGAGGGACGAGATTTAGCAAAGGTTCAATATGGTGGCAAGATGTTCTGCCAAGAACCATATCATTAAATTTACAGTACCTTCTCCAAGGCCATTTTACTTCTGATATACGCAGAAAAGCAGGGTTTTGAGAACTCCCTTGACGATTTTGTATTATGCATCAATTCAATCCATATGAAAAAATATATGTCAAAGATGAAATGTATGTATGTATGTATGTATGTATGTATGTATGTATGTATGTATGTATGTATGTATGTATGTATGT